ATTAACTGTTCACTCCAGGCAGGAGGTGAGATACAGACATAACATCACATTCTTGTTTATGAATTAAGAAATGTTCTAAAGACTAACACTTATTTAAAAAATAAAAATAGAATTGTCAGTGAAACAAACATACTTAAACTGTCAGTATCTGCATGTATACCCCATCTCCTACATAGAATGAGATAATATAAATTTGCTTTACACTATTTACGCTACTAATAATTATAACAAGAGCTGTCGGTAGGACAGCAACGCTCGACTATTCTTAGTGCTTGATAGTAAAAAAAATGCTTGATACAGTTACATCCTCCTGTTTACAGGTTGGGGTCATGATGGTGAACAAGTGTGCAAAGTTTCAAAGCTATATGTCAATGGACTTTGAAAATATTTGAACTATTACAAAAACTTTAACGTAAATTCTAAGTCGAAAAAGGGGCATAATTCTGTCAAAATGCTTGATAGAGTTACCTCCTCCTGTTTACAGGTTGGGGTCATGATGGTGAACAAGTGTGCAAAGTTTCAAGCCATATGTCAATGGACTTTGAAAATATTTGAACTATTACAAAAACTTTAACGTAAATTCTAAGTCGAAAAAGGGGCATAATTCTGTCAAAATGCTTGATAGAGTTACCTCCTCTTGTCTACAGGTTGGGGTCATGATGGTGAACAAGTGTGCAAAGTTTCAAAGCCATATGTCAATGGACTTTGAAAATATTTGAACTATTACAAAAACTTTAACGTAAATTCTAAGTCGAAAAAGGGGCATAATTCTGTCAAATGCTTGATAGAGTTACCTCCTCCTGTCTACAAGTTGGGGGTCATGATGGTGAACAAGTGTGCAAAGTTTCAAAGCCATATGTCAATGGACTTTGAAAATATTTGAACTATTACAAAAACTTTAACGTAAATTCTAAGTCGAAAAAGGGGCATAATTCTGTCAAAATGCTTGATAGAGTTACCTCCTCTTGTCTACAGGTTGGGGTCATGATGGTGAACAAGTGTGCAAAGTTTCAATTCATATGTCAATGGACTTTGAAAATATTTGAACTATTACAAAAACTTTAACGTAAATTCTAAGTCGAAAAAGGGGCATAATTCTGTCAAAATGCTTGATAGAGTTACTTCCTCTTATCTACAGGTTGGGGTCATGATGGTGAACAAGTGTGCAAAGTTTCAAAGCCATATGTCAATGGACTTTGAAAATATTTGAACTATTACAAAAACTTTAACGTAAATTCTAAGTCGAAAAAGGGGCATAATTCTGTCAGAATGCTTGATAGAGTTACCTCCTCCTGTCTACAAGTTGGGGTCATGATGGTGAACAAGTGTGCAAAGTTTCAAAGCCATATGTCAATGGACTTTGAAAATATTTGAACTATTACAAAAACTTTAACATAAGTGGTTACGCCGACGCCGACGCCGACGCTCGGGTGACTGCAATAGCTCTACTTATTCTTATCGAATAGTCGAGCTAATAAAAAGGATATATGACTAATCCTGAAATGTAGTCTGTTAAACTATTTATATAAATGATTGTTTCTGGCTTTTAAAATCAAAAAGCACGTTTTGGAACTTACTTTTAACATATGTTCATTTCAGAGTACAAAGTTTAATTTATCCTGATCACATAAATTGTTAAATGAGGCATCAATCTCAATAGCTTTATTAACAATATCATTTCTGAGACTCTGATACAATGGGCAATGAAATAAAACATGAACTTCATTTTCCACTGCAAGTTCACAAATCGGACATAGACGCTGTTCTTCTGGGATATTTTCATATCTCCCCGTTTCTAAACGGAGGGGGGCAACTCCACATCTAAACTTAGCTAACGCAGACTTGTATTTACTAGACAAAGTTGAACATTCAACATACTTTTCAGTTTCATAAACAGATTTAAACTGCGTATAAGTCCTAAGTTTATTTCTACCTCTACCAGAGGGACCCGTGACATTTTGAATACTGGTTCTCCAATCATGAATGAAAGTATCCATGGTGCACTTACTTATCTTATCACAAAAATATTTGGAAGACATGTTAATACAATCGTTTTACAAATTCAACAAATTGTTTGACAATGGATGTTTCTTGTACAGAAATTGCCAATTTTTGCAACTATTATTACTCTTACTGTCACAAAATCTAAAAATCTTGAAATTAATTCTCTCACTATCCATTGACTTTACTCTATGCCAATGTTGAGACACAGATCTCCACTGTTTCACATGAGGGGGTTGCCAACCTAACTCACCATAAATGGCATTAATAGGGGTATATTTACCTAGCCCCAGAAAGAATCTCATTGCTCGACTCTGCACTGCATTTATGCAAGAATAGGATCTTTGTTCCCCAAATAGATGCCCCATATGCAATAACAGGCCATACTGTACTATCGTAAAGTTTTGTGAATGCCTTATATGGCATAGGCCACCATGGACTTGGACTTAGCTATAAGGAGACCAAGGGCTCTACCAGCACTCTGAGCAGCAACAGATTTCACCATGATATTAAAAATCACGCATCTGTCAGTAACAGACCTAGGTAAGTGTAGTTGGCAACAACTTTCAGACTGTGGTCCCCACATGTGAAAACCGTATTGAAGTTCTGGGAAACAGAACAGGTCTAAAATGCATGATATTACTCTTCAAAGGATTCACAATCATAGTATTCTTGTTACACCAATTATGTAACATATCTAACATAAACTGCAAAACTTCTGCGTTTTCAGCTATAAGTACAATATCGTCTGCATATAAAAGGATGCATAGTTTTTCATTATCAATACAAATACCCTTTCCGGCTGCTTTTATAGATACTGCCAGATCATTTACGAATAAATTAAATAACAAAGGTGATAAGGAGCAGCCCTGTCTTAAGCCACATTTAACATCAAACCAATCTGTATAAAAACCGTTAACCTTAATACTAGATGTAACTTCACTATATAGAGATTTCATAGCATTCATCATTTTTCCATTAACACCAATTTCCGAATTCATCAATTTGTCCCATAAAATAGTCCTATTTATAAAATCATAGGCTTTTTGAAATGAATAAATGCACAAAAAGTAGATTTTTTGGCCTTTTTTCTAGTATCAATAATATTAGTTAATGAAGATATATGATCAATTGTACTTCTACCCTTTCTGAACCCATTCTGTTCATCCACTAAAATATTATTTTTTGATTCGGTCCATTTTTGACAACCTTTCATCAGGATTGAACAGTAGATTTTATACATAGCACATGACAAAGCAATCCTCTATAGGACAATGGGTCTCGAATATCCACTGTACTAGATTTTGGAATGGGGCTGATAATAACTTTGCCCCACTCTGTAGGAATAGTACCAGTATCAAAACAAACATTATATAAAATATGTAAAAACGACATTGAACACTGGTTTTTCAAAATGTCTACTGGTATTGAGTCTATACCACATGATTTACCAGACTTTGTTTTAGTAACAGCCTTCTCTATTTCCAATATAGATATATTTTCATTCAAACTATCACAAGAGCGATTATTTTGACAACCATTATTAAGTATAGTAGTTTCAACATTGCATATTGTCTACTAACAAACAAATTGCTAAAATCATTTTTCCATTTATCTAAAACTGTACTAATATTGTTGGTAATAGAACCATCTTCACAAATTACTTCTAATGGTTTACCCTTTTTCTTTGATCTGGTATGCAATCACATAAATTTCACACTTCCACATCAACACCCTTTTCACAGATATCTTACTCTAATCAACACCTTGATTCTTCAGTAATGAATTAATAAACACCTCAATTATCTGACAACAAACTTAATGCACATATGAATTGAACTCCTTTCAGGCTTTCTTCATTATTCAAAAGTGAAATTTAGCGATTAAAATTCATTAATCATTTTTGATAATAAATTTATCCATTATCAAACATCTAATTATTTCAATAAAATATTTTTCTTTAATTTATATCATTTAATAATAAACTTACCCATTTATTTAACATCTTAACACTTCAATCATTTAATTTATAGCAATTAATAAACTTACCCATTTATTTAACATCTTGAAAAAATACTGTATTAATAAAAATAAAAATGGGGAGGAACTGTCTGCTTATGTGCAAATATACAGACGGTTCTCCCTCAAAATAGGGAGAGAACCGTCAGGGAGGAAACGTCAGGAGAGGAACTGGTAAGGGAGAGAATAGTCTGACTAGCGCATGTGAAAACCAGTGCATACACCACAGAGCTTAAATATCAAATACAAATGTTGAACTGACTGAACAATTAAATATAAATTGGCTTTGAAATTTTTTGTTTAAAACAATGAATATCACCAACGTATAAACACAACTTAATATTGTTCTTACAGAATACAAAAGAAAAATTGTACTAGCAAGCTGATGGGAGGTCAAACAATGGGTTCTGCCAAAGGGGGTTGTGTAACGGTGCTTAAAGTTTATATATACATGTATGGATTGTCACCTGTTTTTTTGGTCTGGACATTGTTTTGGTCACAAATAACCCTAATATAGAGTCCAGGCACTGTTACAACCTCCTTTGGGTTCTGCATGGTCTCATTTCTGCCGAGTAGTTCATAGAATGAATATGAAATTGCAAATATTTAGACGGACACCCTGGTGCAAATATATACCGGTATTTGCCCACTAGTTATTGATCCAATCTAGTTATAGGTTTAGGCATTGATCAAATGTACAAACTAATTATTGCCAGACACTTCATGTTTGGTTACCTCAGTACTTAGACCATATAAACTTAGTTCACGAGGTTTCTACACCCTAAAAATTTCTGAACAGAGAAGCCAAAACCTGTCTTATGCACATTCTTACAGGATTTACATTTCTGCAAAGTAGTTTCAATTTCCTATATTTGGTTTAAAAGATACAGAGTGGACATCAATTTGCTAAAGGACAATAGGATATTTAACATTATGCGGTTTTAGGAAGACATTTGTACTGAAATAAATAACAAAACTCATTGCTATTTCTTCTTTTAATATGAATTTTGATGAAACAATTTGATCTTTAGAAATGTACATTTAAATACAAACTTGTCAGATCTAATTATCATTTAATTAATTTAATCATGATCAAGGAGATAGTAACAGATATCAATGCTAATCAACATGTGAATAATATAAAACATGATTTTCCTTATTCTTCCTTGAAATCCTACAACATAACAGTTTTCTCTCAAACACTATACAGTCTTAGTGAAAATGATAACTTCTCACTATTCTAATTGTATAGAATATCCTTTAAATCACAAAGTATTAAAAATTAGACAGCCACCTTAATATAATGGTAAATGTCAAACTTACTGCAACGAAAAACTGGTTAACTGAAAATTTAGTGATGTTATGCACAATTATTCACTTAAAAATTGTCTCTCATATGTTTATATATTAGGCCAGTTTGCATTTAGTTTTAACGTGTAAACTGCCTCCTGAACACTTCATTTTGAACACTAATGGTCACATAATTGCAAAAGCAATATGCAAAAACAAAATAATAAATGAACACATTATTGCATCATTTTTGAACACATAACATCATACTTGGTCATTAACCAATGTATCATACAAGATTACTGATTTTTCTTTAGTACGAGTACAATCAAGCTTTTATACAAAAAAAAAATATTTGACAATCAACTTTCAAAAATTTATACACGATTTACAAAAAGTCAAATACATTTTTGTATACAAAACAACTGAGAGGGAAATAATTTTGGAACCGTTATAGAAGAGTAATCTATAAAATTTACGAAAAAAAAAATACAAGAATATCAAGATTTATATATAATACATATAGCACTTTCTGACAGGAGAACTGAGCAAATTTGACATACGGTAATCCCTGATGGAACAGCAGTAATCTGTCCTTGCCAGATAGCACCAATGAACATGGCAGACAGACCTAAATGTCAACGTCTTCGACAGCTTTGATATTTCAAATTATCTATGCAAGAGTCAACATCAGTCAAATAAATTAATGTCAGAATCAAGTATTTTTCCCTATTATCAATACAATTTGTTTGGAAAAATAATCAAGTTCTCTAGTACCCAAGGGCACCATTTCTAACAACAAATACAAGCATACTGTAGCATTATTATACAAATGTATATGGATACATTACTTCCCCTTAGCCCACATTTGTACAGTATATATAAAACTATGCAAGCTATAATTCTTCAATGCCCCACTTATGCTATAACACAATGTATCTGCTATTTTTTTTTTAAACATTTTAGTATTTATTTGTTCAAATATATTACACAAGTCATGTTGTGGGGAAAAAATGTTATATTTAAAAACACCCATGACAGTACTAGCACATTATGTGAATATTGCAAATGTTATAAAAAATAATAGAAACTACATTTGGAACAATATTCAACATGTTTTAATGAACTTGTGTAGCCTATTTGTAATTTTTTTCCAGAGTCCTTCAACAGTTTTTTTTAACAATGTATTTAACAAAGTTCGTGCATTATTTTCCTCATTTAAGCACAGAGCCTGATGACTTTGTTGGTAACTATCAGGAAATCTTCATCTTGCAATTCTTTCAAAGCTTCTTCAAACAAATCTCTTGGTACGGGCTGAAAAGAAAACAACAATTTATGGGTTTAACACATTTTTTGTCATATCTTTGGAACATTTTTTTATTTTTTCATAATTTGGCCGGGCTCCCCAATCCACCTAACATTCAATTTCTCCTCAAGGGACAGACTACTTATCAAACATGATTTCTGATCAGCAATGACTGACAAATTGACTCAATGTCCTAGATCAATTTTATCAGAGAAATTCAACTTGCCACAGGATCAAATCAGTGACCCCTGAAATTGGGTCGTGTTACAAATCTCACAATATCCTTAAAATACACCATTATTTGTCAACTCAACTTATCTTTTAACCTGATACACTGATCATGATACACTAGGCAAACACAGAAAATACCTTTTTCTACTTACACATAGATACATATAATTGTATTTAAATTACCATTTTACAAAGAAATCAGGAACATGAAACCTTGTTCTTAAAATTATAGAATTTTTGAAAAGACATGTCCAAGTATTCCATGTAACCAAATTCCATGAGAAATTCATGAACTAAAATAAACCTGTTTGTTTGATTGGGTTTTACACCACACCGACACAGCATAGGTCATATGGTGATGTTCCAGCTTTACTGGTGGAGGAAGACCTTAGGGGCCCTTCCGTGGATTATTTCAGGTAAGAATGGGCACCCAAGTAAAACCACCTATTTTCCCTAAGCTAGCTGGATAGCTTCCTCACATGAAAGAATCCAAAATCCCTGTCAGAATTTGAACCCACAGCGGTGTGGGGCAAGTGGTTTGAAATCAACAACCTTAACCACTCAGCCACGGACGCTTAAATGATAAACCTAATTCATTTGATCATTCTTGTTTAATTTATTTGATCATTCTTGTTATTTAGAAAAGGGACAATCAATTCTTCAATTTTTTAAGGTAAAGTGACAGCATGATTAAGAGGGAACTACTAAATTTTCCTTAAACACTTAAAATACCCACCACATCTGATCTTTCTCTCAGTTCCTCGTAAAGTTTGACCTGCTTCAATGTGGCCACCTTGCCCTTCTCCTGTATCAATTTCTTCAGGGCTTGAGTCACCTCCGCCTTACGTTTACGAGCCGCTCCACTTATACCAGTGGTTAAAATACTGACATCGATCTTGCCAGTACTGGGATCAACAGCTGCCTGCTTCAGTGCCTCCTTGTACAGTCTGAATATATAACAATAATTTCATCAGAATCTTACAGAGATGACAATTTTTTACTTAAAAATTAAACAATAATCTTTACCAGGTAGTGTGTTGAATTCTTAATGGAACAAAGATTTAAGTAAGATAGTTTGGTACTTTGATCTGGTTTCGTTTTAGAGTAATGTTTCTGACATTCCCTATTTAGTTGCTCTAAAAGTAGTAAAAACCTTTACAATGTAGATTTTAATATAAAATCATACAATTATTACTAAACAAACCAAAGCTTCTATTTAACCCCTTCATTGATTAATTTTATGTTTCAATGTCTTTTTAGACGGGGTTTTCTTTTTTATCTGAGGCAACAAATATGCCAATGAAAACAACAGGTTTGGCCAAGGGTCAAAGGGGATATTTTCATATACAACCAATTTCAAGAGCATTTAAACTGATATGAATCGCCAATCTGTTAATAATGAAAACCCTGAACAACATAATTATTTACCAAGTGCAGATATATTTATATTACCTCATAGCTTCCTCAACATCTGCCACGTGTACAGTGTCTGACAACCTCATTCTGGCATGGGCCTCAGCCAATCGAATGAGAGATTCCAGCTGTCTTGGGTAAGCTGACACCTGGCCCCTCCCACTACCTATCTTACGCATATTGACATACTCCTGTATTAAGGATTGTCCCGCCTCTTCACTTAGTTTAGGCTGTATGGTAACTTTAGCAAACGAGATATAGTCTCTCAAAATACTCATATCCTGTAAAACAGAAAACAATAAATTTATAAACATTTTTTATAACTTTGTTCAGCTCATAGGGCCATTTCTAAAAAAAAAATATATACCCAATTAGGCCATTTGTGGATTTCAAGCATCTGCTTGTAAAGTTCTTTTGCGTTTAAGTTTAGCTAGATAGTTTCCCTACATAAATGATTCTCAAGTGCCTAGCAGGATTTGAATTGGGGCGTCATAAGACAGGAAATATTGTATCAACACATTCTTACCCCAAAAAATTTAAATTAAGGCCCCAATCTTGTACCTGCAAAAAAAAAACCCCAACTATTAATCAATATGCTACTATAATTTTAAACCCAAACCAGAATTAATTTATTTTCTTCTTGAATTATGGTAATCTAGAAAGAAGAAAATTATACTTTCAAAATATGCTATCTTACCAGAAATTCCTCCTCGGACTGTTCCTGGGCATGGAAATACAGGGAGACAAGATGATTGGCAAGTTTCCTGTCATACAACTCATCTTGTGGATCTAGTATCAGGAAGATCAGATCAAACCTGTGAAAAAAACATTGCATTTGAAATTCCAAGTTAATCTTGTATCCACCCTTTCAGGCACTCGGGGTACAGACCATGTATGTAAGCTTCTATGGAAAGGGAAATCATTAAATACTTTAGAAACCATGGATGTTCCACAAGCTAGCTGGATAGCTTCCTCAAATGAAACAATCTGAGTCCCTGCCAGGATTTCTACCCACAGGAGTGAGTGGGGCACCCTCTTTGGAGTCAACAACCATGGATGCCCTTCTTGCATTGTATAGGTACAAGGTAACACACAGGAATACAATCATTCTACAGTTCTCTGTATAGCTTACTTACATTACAGAATAATGTGACGTAACAACCACTTTCAAAATTCTAAGCAGTACTGGTCAAGCCTTTATATCCCATGCATCAAATACAAATTGCCAACAGTAAGTATATCAGGTAATTTACCTTGACAATAGTGTGTGTGGGAGCATAATGTTCTCTGTGATAGTTTTGTTCTTGTTCCACTGTGACTCGACTGGGTTGGCTGCAGCCAAGATGGATGTTCTAGCGTTCAAGGAGCAGATGATACCAGCTTTGGCGATTGACAATGTTTGTTGTTCCTGAGTAAAAGGGGAGATAATAAATATATCCATATCAATGTGTTGAGAGATTGATTGTTGTATCTTAAAAATTTACTGACAATCAGCTTTTTTTCCCATAACTTGCAATAAACATAATAATTAACTGCTAATTCATATCAGTTGATTGATGAAACCAACAAAGAAGTACAACTTAACACTTTGCTTCAATTTTATCAGGGCTTTTGAGTGTTAACAAATGTAAGTTGTCAAATATCATTCTTTCTCTTCTTTTTTTTTGGTCGAGTTTTAAAGTTCAATGAACACCGCCAGTGACCATAGCTTTAACTTTTGAGACATGTGATAGAAAAAAATATACTCCCGAAAAATAACTAGAACTGCCACTGTCATGGCGTGAATACCCCCACATACCACTTTGTCAGAATCAACAGTGGCCATTTAGAGCTCAAGGACAACTTCCCTGCCAAATCTGAGGTTACTAAGCCAGTGCATTGCTAAGTAATGTATTCTACATGCTTCAAATGTGAAAATGTAAAAATCAGTACACTGCAGACAGGCATTCTTAAGCAATTGAGGGGAAAAACTTATTTTATTGTCAAGGTCCCCCTGACCTATGACCCAGTGACCTCAAAATCAATAGGGGTCACCTTATGGTCATGATCAACCTCCATGCCAAATATGAAGACTGTGGGTCAAAGGAATCTTAAGTTAATGGGCAGAAAAACTTTTTTAGTCAAGGCCCCTGTGACCTTGACCTTTGACCCAGTGACCTCAAAATCAATAGGGGTCATCTACTAATCATGACTAACCTCCATGCCAAATATGAAGACTTTGGGTCAAAGGAATCTTTAGTTATTGGGCGGACAAGCTTTTTGAAGTCAAGGCCCCTGTGACCTTGACCTTAGACCCGGTGACCCCAAAATCAATAGGGGTCATCTACTAATCATGACTAACCTCCATGCCAAATATGAAGACTGTGGGTCAAAAGAATCTTAAGGTTTTTGGGCGGACAAGCTTTTTGAAGTCAAGGCCCCTGTGACCTTGACCTTAGACCCGGTGACCTCAAAATCAAAAGCGGTCATCTACTAATCATGACTAACCTCCATGCCAAATATGAAGACTTTGGGTCAAAGGAATCTTTAGTTATTGGGCGGACAAGCTTTTTGAATTCAAGGCCCCTGTGACCTTGACCTTTGACCCAGTGACCTCAAAATCAATAGGGGTCATCTACTAATCATGACTAACCTCCATGCCAAATATGAAGACTGTGGGTCAAAGGAATCTTAAGTTATTGGGCGGACAAGCTTTTTGAAGCCAAGGCCCCTGTGACCTTTGACCCAGTGACCTCAAAATCAATAGCGGTCATCTACTTATTTCATGACTAACCTCCATGCCAAATATGAAGACTGTGGGTCAAAGGAATCTTAAGTTATTGGGCGGACAAGAAAAAACCGACGGACAGCCAGCCGGACGGACAAGCTGATTCAAGTATACCCCCCTTACAACTTTGTTGTGCGGGGGTATAAATACAGATTTCAATGAATGTAACCATTCAATTACAAAACTTGTTTCCCATATTTCAGATCACAAAAATATATAAATACGCTAGCAATAAATATAAAATTGGTTACCATGACTTCATGGAGAACAGATCTTGTACTATCATTCATCTTGTCAAATTCATCAATACAGCATACACCATTGTCACTGAGTACCAAAGCTCCACTGTGAGTACAAATAATAACCAAAGATGAAGATAACTTCATTTTTCAGATATATTTACAGCTATATTTTAAACAAAGAATAAAAGAATAACTGCTCACTTAAAACACAAAGTCTTCTGACATCTTGAATCCAAAACTGTTCATATGACTAAATACTATACTGTTTTAGGTAAATTTTGTTTGTTTTGTTTTACAGGTGCACAAACACAATTGAGGTCATATAGCACTGAAACAGGAAAGATAACTTCTGGTGTTAGAACTTAAAGCAAAATCAGTTTAAGGTAAAAACTAATTTACAGAAACATCTCATAAAGTAACATTACTTACGTTTGTAGAACAAGCTGTCTGGTATCTGGGTCTTTAGTGATGTATGCTGTCAAACCTGTGGCACTTGAACCCTTTCCTGAAGTGTACTGCCCACGGGGTACCAGATTATGTACATATTGCAGTAACTGAGACTTACTGGTTCCCGGGTCACCGCACAATAAAATATTCATCTCCGATCTGAAAGGAACAATGAAGTTGGTTTATAAAAGAACAATTAATATGATGGATGAAAGAAATTTCATTCTATTCAAAATCTATTACACCACTGCATTTTGTTCTCACAAATTCGTTTTAATTTGATCGTGGTGGAAGCTATTAGCTAATTGGAACACTCTTGAATCATTTTCTGGATCATACCAGTACTAAGCAACAAGTGTAGTTTCTTGGTCGTGGAAACAACATTTTGCCCCTGATGAGGTTTGAGCCAGGTAGCCAGCAATCCTTTAGATTACTAGTCTGACATATCATTAACTCGGCCACACCCACTGAATTTGAATAGTAAACTTTTGTCCATCATTATTTTAAGAGGACTAAATATCATTACACTTGAGAGCACCCACTTAGTAGACTGAGAATAAACAGATATACATACTGGCAAGATTCTATACCAGTTACATTATCATTGTTAGTATTCAACATCAAAATCTGTACCTATTACAAGTTAAAAAGATTTTTGTTTGTAAAATTGTTATATTGCAAACAAGTGTTTGTACACAGGCATATAACTGGTCAAGAACCTTTTTTGAATAACAATACTGCAAACTTTCTTTATTAATTAATTGTGCTTTGCATTTAGATTATACATGTAAATGTCACGATTATCCAATGAAAAATGATGTTACAAATGTGCAGTAATAATCTAAATTTATAAATTTAACAGTATCATTAAAACTTTACGTATTAGGTAATTGCTAGTACACAAAGTGCATTGAAATCTGTTAGCTACATTATTCCAACACAGAAGCAGAAAGCAGTATCAATTTATATGTTTTACAAACCTCTTTCAAAATATACACTTGTATCACAAACCCCTACAATTTGTGAAATTTCTGTATGTCTCAACATGACTCAAGTCTATCTCTTTAAAATGTAACACAGAGAGAGTTACCTAAATTTTCCTCTGCCTGTATTTGTAAAATCTTTCCTGGTTCCGCCAAACAGTTGCAGTAAAATGCCCTTTTTGATATCATCATTCTCATATATACTGGGAGCTGAAATGCAAGAAATGCCTTTCAAAGTATTTCAACTTAAAATATGTAAAGCAAATGTGCTTTATATCCAATTCATCGTGATTCAAAAGTTAACATTTTATGTACTGATTTCAAACTGGAAAGTTAATGCTGAAAAATATGTACATTCAGGGAATTTTTCCCCCAATCCCAAGGAGCCAATTAGGCCACACTCCCAATTCAAAATAACCTCTTTCTTTCCCAAATCATATGAAAAATAGCTGGTTTCTTAGTGACAAGCTGTATGAATATCTATCTGAATGAAACTTAAGTCACAGATATGGTAGTTTTTTAACTTTCCCATTTCTCAAAGTGGGCCTTTTCCAAATGACAGGGAATAGGCTCTTTCATGATAATTAATTGATAGTCATAATATACCTATGGCTCTCGCCAGCCTCTCGTAAATGTCAGACTCCTTGGCTAGTTTCTGTATCAACTCGACTCGCTCCTGGGGCAGGCGGGATGATTTACTGAAACATGAAAATTTACTATCAATCAAATAAGCTCTTTTTTAACTTGGTTTTTCTTTATAACCTTTTCAATTTATTTATTTTAGTTCAGTATTTCAGATTTTCTTTAAGTAAAATCTACCTTATTGAAAACATTTTGTTTCAATATGTATTGGTTCCTGGGCCTTTTTGCAGCGCACCAACATGGTATAGGTCAAATAGCATCTTACCAGCTTTACAGGAGAAGGAAGGACACGGGTGCTTTTCTGTGCATTATTTCGGACACAAAAGAACACCTGCATAGAACTGCATGTTCAGTAAGCTAGCTGGATAGCTTACTCACATGAAAGAATCCAAAGTCCCTGTCGGGACAGGGATTCTGGGCTTTTTAACCACACATGAAAATGCAAACTTTACCACATAAAATGGTACATGACTTATGAAAACAAACAAATTAACAAAGAACAAGAGTACCAGAGAACTGGAGCGGGGCCAGTTTAAACCCCAGGGCTTTTATTTGAACAAACTTGGTAGACACCCATTAGAAGATATTTCATGCTTAACATCTAAGGTCTAGCTGGTCAAGTTTTTTTCTTTACACATATTGGCGGGGCCAATTTTGACCCCAGGGCTTTAATTTGAAGAAACTTGGCAGACACCCATTAGAAGATGTTTCATGCTAAATATTTTAGCTCTAGCTCTTTGGGTTCTTTAAAAGAAGAATTTTTTAAGTTTTTACTTTATACATATAGGGAAAATCAATGACCCCCTGGGGCGGGGCCAATTTTGACCCCCAGGGCTTTTATTTGAACAAACTTGGTAGACATCAATTAGAACATGTTTCATGCCAAATATCTAAGCTCTAGCTCTTTGGGTTTTTTAGAAGAAGATTTTTTAAGTTTTTACTATATGCATATAGGGAAAATCAATGACCCCCTTGGGTGGGGCCAATTTTGACCCCAGGGCTTTTATTTGAACAAACTTGGTAGACACCCATTAGAAGATGTTTCATGCCAAATATCTTAGCTCTAGCTCTTTGGGTTCTTTAAAAGAAATTTTTTTAAGTTTTTACTATATGCATATAGGGAAAGTCAATGACCCCCTGGGGCGGGGGCCAATTTTGACCCCAGGGCTTTTATTTGAACAAACTTGGTAGACACCGATTAGAAGATGTTTCATGCTAAATATCTTAGCTCTAGCTCTTTGGGCTTTTTAGAAGATGTTTTTAAAGTTTTTTCTTTTGGTTGCCATGGCAACCAGAGTTCTGCATGGAATGGAATTCTTTGAACAACTTTGTTAAGGCTTCACACAAGGAACATCCCTGTGAAGTTTCATTATGATCTGCCTTATGGTTTCAGAGGAGATGTCGTTTGAAAAGTGTGAACGGACAACGGACGACGTACAACGGATGACGGACGAAGAGTGATCCTAATAGCTCACCCTGAGCATATGCTCAGGTGAGCTAAAAACAAGCACCTTAAGATCAATCATTCGCTCCTTAATGCTTATCATACAAACCACATTTGAACATGATTCACATCAGGTTAAAACTGAGAAGAGCAAAAAACATGCATCATTCTGTATCAAAATCAGAGGAACAGACTAACCTTTCATCATCTTCTGCCTCGTGCAGACGCTTGACATCCATCTTCCTGAAGTGTACAACATCAATATGTGTCTTGTAGACTGACTTCACATTTCGCATACGTGGATTCACTCTCAGCGGCATCGCCCTGTATATACCAGTGATTGTCACTCGGTCACCAGGCTGAACCTTGTCCACCAAATCACTGTGTGCATACAGTACTACTGTGTGTGGCGTCTGACCAGGTGGCATATCCTCTGAAGTAGCATTTTCACATACATTTAAGTTTAATTTAAAATGTTTCCAATTCTACCAAAATCAGTTGAATTTTCACTACCAGTTTTACTTCTATGCTAGGTATATATGAGTAGTAATTGATTGAAATCATCTAGGGAGACAATTTTTTTTTCACAATAAAAGACTTCAAAAACTGAATATTCACATTTCATGGTATATGCATCACATTCTTTACTTAACTTAACTAAATAATCCTGTAACCCAATTCATAATAAAATTAAGAATATCATAAATTTTTTGAGGAAATAAATCTAGGCAAATAATGTGTAATTTGTTATTACCTGGAGATTCCTGCAGCTTGATATGCTGCTTATCACTGAAGTGTGACCTATTGTGCACGAGGGCAAAACTATGATTTGTATTACAGTTAGTACACAGTGTTGGCTCTGCAATCCTGCCCCTCTCTATCTCTACAGAAGCCGTGTTGTGACACACATAGCACGAGAAAAATGCTTCACGCATCTCCGGGATCAAGGCTGACAATCGAATGACCATACCACTTATCGTGATCAACTGATCAATATCTGAAATAGTAACATAAACCTCCATTATATTACAGGGTTCAAACAGAATCATGTAGTCTTAATTTAAGCACTTTTCAAGGGCTTTTTCAAGACCAATTTTGCATTTTCAAGGACAATTTTCGCGCATTGTTTCCGGCAAGTTTCAACTCTAAGCAAAGAAGATTTAACATCATTTATTATCATTGTTAATAATAATATACTTAAGCCACAACATTCTTTGAAAAATACATGTTGTTTTACAATTTGATGTAAATACTTTAACTTCTTAAATCAACTTTTGCTTTTATTACCTGCAGTTCAAGTTATTCAATTTCTTTTTTCTGATCTTTGGAACCCTTCATTAATATATTACTTTGAGTCACAAAGACAAACCACTGGCATTGTCTTCTTTAGGCTTTGACATAGAGGCAACCTCGTTATCATTTATTACATTGTTATCTGAGTCAGAATTAGTCTTTTTAGCCTCAATTTTAAAAATCCCTTCTTGTTTAACAAAAAACAAATCACATGATCCCTGTTTCTGTTGTATTTTTAAATTTTCTTTGTGACTTTCACCTTTTTCGTGACTTTTCAGGGCGCTGTCTCCCATACCACCGATTTCAATATTTTTCATACAAACTCAGCAATGCGCCTTTCTAATATCACTTGATTTCTGTACCCAACTATAATCTTTCAATTGAAATCGGCTTTTACCCAATTTTTATTACGAATTGGCTATATCGAAACACTTCAGGAACAAAATATTCCAACACTTGGGAGTGTATACGTCTAAATGCTCACAATAATTACAAAGAAACTTGAGAAAGAGCGAAACACCGACGATATAGATAGCAGATGGTCGATTTATTTTTATTGGGAACGCTTTTTTCTACTCGCGAAAACTGTTAATGTGAAAAGCGATGACGTAAGGCCATCCTTAAAAAAATGTTTGTTTGCAGTAACGCGACCGACTCACAAAATTTGCCCCTACTCAAAATTTTTTTTCATGGTCTGGATGAAATTTTTTTTTTTTTGAATCAGAAAATTATGCCTTGTGCTTTGTTTTTGTTCTTTTAAAGGTTAATAGAAGAAATAAAATGTAGGTCTTATTAAATTAGAACTCAGTTATCAATTTATTAATTGTTACCAGATTATCAAAGCATATATATTCCAGCATTTTGAAATGCCATGTTTATTTGGGAGTACAATTCAATAAAAAAAAAAAAAAAATCGACCTACCTACCCACCTTGAAACTTCTGGGTCGGGTTACTGCAAACAAACATTTTTTTAAGGATGGCCTTATACACACGAACACGAATACCGACGACGTAAAACACATGCGGGCTTCATTTCGTACTCATGTATTTTCGTAACTATTTCGCGGAAGTAAATAAAAATCTTCTGTGATATATTCTGTCCCTTCCTTATTAAACAAGAGGGCCATGATGGCCCTGAGGTCGCTCACCTGTATATAGGCCCCCGGAGCTTAAACCCCAGGGCTTTTATTTGAACAAACTTGGAAGACACTCATTAGAAGATGTTTCACAATGTTAAGTTTTTACTACACACATGTAATGAAAAACAATGATCTCACCCGCCCCCGTCCACCTTTCCCTTCCCCCCCCCCCCCCCCCCGCAGGGCCAATTTTCACCCAAGGGCATTTATTTGAACAAACTTTGTAGACATCCATATGAAGATATTTCATGCTAACCATCTAAGCTCTAGCTCATTGGGTTTTTTAAAAGAAGATTTTTAACTTTTTACTACACACATATAGTTAAAAACAATGACACCCCTGGGGCGGGGCCAGTTTTGACCCCAGGGCTTTTATTTGAACAAACTTTGTAGACGTTTACTACAAGATGTTTCATGCTTAATATCTAAACTCTAGCTATCTAGGTTTTTTCAAAGAAGATTTTTTTAAGTTTTTACTATAATTATGCATATAGGGAAAATCAAGACCCCCCATGGCGGGGCTAATTTTGACCCCAGGGCTTTTATTTGAACAAACTTTGTAGACACTCATTAGAAGATGTTTCATGCTTAATATCTAAACTCTAGCTATTTGGGTTTTTTCAAAGAAGATTATTTAAGTTTTTGCTATACACATATAAGGAAAATCAATGACCCCCGGGGCGGGGCCAATTTTGACCCCAGGGCTGTTATTTGAACAAACTTGGTAGACACCCATTAAAAGATGTTTCATGCTGAATATCTTAGCTCTAGCTCTTTGAGTTCTTTCAAAGAAGATTTTGTAAGTTTTTACTATATGTATATAGGGATAATCAAGACCCCCCCGGGCGGGGCCAATTTTTACCCCAGGGCTTTTATTTGAACAAACTTTGTAGACACTCACTAGAAGATGTTTCATGCTTAATATCTAAACTCTAGCTATTTGAGTTCTTTCAAAGAAGATTTTGTAAGTTTTTACTATATGCATATAGGGGAAATCAATGACCCCCTGGGGCGGGGCCAATTTTGACCCCACAGCTTTTATTTGAACAAACTTGGTACACACTCATTAGAAGATGTTTCATGCTGAATATCTTAGCTCTAGCTCTTTGGGTTCTTTAAAAGAAGAATTTTTAAGTTTTTACTATATGCATATAGAGAAAATCAATGACCCCCTGGGGCGGGGCCAATTTTGACCCCAGGGATTTTATTGGTAGACACTTGGTAGACACTCACTAGAAGATGTTTCATGCCAAATATCTAAGCTCTAGCTCTTAGGGTTTTTTAAAAGAAGATATTTAAAGTTTTTACTTTCGGTTGCCATGGCAACCAGAGTTCTGCATGGAATTAAATTCTTTGAACAATTTTTAAAGGTGACCACCGAAGGAACATTCCTGTGAAGTTTGGATGAAATTGGCTTAGTGGTTTATGAGGAGATGTCATTTAAAGTAAAAGTTTACGGACGGACGACAGACGGACGGACGAAAAGCGATCACAAAAGCTCACCCTGTCACTTTGTGACAGGTGAGCTAAAAAGGTTTTAATTTATGATTTTTTTTAATGATGAGTGTTATTTCTAAGAGAATTAACAATCTTCAAGGATTTTTTTTCTAAAATAAAGACTTTTCAATGACTTTTTCAAGGACACCCTGAATTCAAGCACTTTTCAAGACCCAGATCGTTTTCAAGCACTTTTCAAGACCTGTGCGAACCCTGATATTATGATGTGCCAAAAAGCAAAACTAATCAATTTCATATAACAGGCAGGTTTTATACATTCTTAATTGGAAGAGGTTGCAGAATTGAAATAACATCATCACTTTGTTATCATATGAAGATATTCCAGCTTTCTTGGTAGAATGCATTATTTCAGACAACAAGAGCGATCAGTAATCACATGTGTCGCCTCATGATGGCCAATTTCATGTTGGGACAAATTTTGTGACAGACGGACAGTGCACAACTAGACTTGGTACTGAACATTCCTGTAAAGTTTGGATAAAATTGCACCAGTAGTTTATGAGGAGTAGTCCGGACAAGCTTTTGCGTATCTGGCAACACACAGAAAAAAACACCTTTTTATCAAAGGGCCATAACTCGGCCAAAAATCATTCAACCAGAAAACTTGTGCAATATGCGCAAGGACTTGAGCTACAGATCAATCCTGTAAAGTTTCATTGAAATTGCATTAGTGGTATAAGAGGAGTAGTCCGGACAAACTTTAAAATTAAAAATTATTAAAGGGCCATAACTCTGACAAAAATCATTGAACCGGAAAATGCTGACACTATGCACAACTAGACTTGGTACTGATCATTCCTGTAAAGTTTGGATGAAATTGCACCAGTAATTTATGAGGAGTAGTCCGGACAAGCTTTTGTGTATCTGGCAACACACAGAAACAAGAGCGATCAGTAATCACATGTGTCGCCTCATGATGGCCAATTTCATGTTGGGACAAGTTTCGTGACAGACGGACAGACAGACGGACAATGCACAACTAGACTTGGTACTGATCATTCCTGTAAAGTTTGGATAAAATTGCACCAGTAGTTTTTGAGGAGTAGTCCGGACAAGCTTTTGTGTATGTGGCAACGCACAGAAAAAAACACCTTTTTATCAAAGGGCCATAACTCGGCCAAAAATCATTCAACCGGAAAACCCGTGCAATATGCGCAAGGACTTGAACTACAGATCAATCCTGTAAAGTTTCATTGAAATTGCATTAGTGGTATAAGAGAAGTAGTCCGGATAAACTTCAAAAATAAAAATTATTAAAGGGCCATAACTCTGACAAAAATCATTGAACCGGAAAATGCTTACAATATGCACAACTAGACTTGGTACTGATCATTCCTGTAAAGTTTGGATGAAATTGCACCAGTAGTTTATGAGGAGTAGTCCGGACAAGCTTTTGTGTATCTGGCAACACACAGAAAAAGAAACGTTTTTATCAAAGGGCCATAACCCGGCCAAAAATCATTCAACCGGAAAACCCGTGCAATATGCGCAAGGACTTGAGCTACAGATCAATCCTGTGAAGTTTCATTGAAATTGCATTAGTGGTATAAGAGAAGTAGTCCGGACAAACTTTAAAATTAAAAATTATTAAAGGGCCATAACTCTGACAAAAATCATTGAACCGGAAAATGCTGACAATATGCACAACTAGACTTGGTACTGATCATTCCTGTAAAGTTTGGATGAAATTGCACCAGTAGTTTATGAGGAGTAGTCCGGACAAGTTTTGTGACGGACGGACGGACAGACAGACAGACAGACAGACAGACGGACAGACAGACAGACGGACAGACAGACGACGGAGAAGTGATCCCTATATGTCGCCACTACTCCGTAGAGGCGACACAAAAAACACCTTTTTATCAAAGGACCATAACTCGGCCAAAAATCATTCAACTGGAAAACCCGTGCAATATGCGCAAGGACTTGAGGTACAGATCAATCCTGTAAAGTTTCATTGAAATTGCATTAGTGGTATAAGAGAAGTAGTCCGGACAAACTTTAAAATTAAAAATTATTAAAGGGCCATAACTCTGACAAAAATCATTGAACCGGAAAATGCTGACAATATGCACAACTAAACTTGGTACTGATCATTCCTGTAAATTTTGGATGAAATTGCATCAGTAGTTTATGAGAAGTAGTCCGGACAAGTTTTGTGACGGACAGGCGGACGGACGGACGGACAGACGACGGAGAAGTGATCCCTATATGTCGCCACTACTCCGTAGAGGCTACACAAAATGGGCACTGAACCTTCAGACAATATCACCATAAACCAAACTCATCATTTAATTAATTTTTACCATGTCACACACAAAAATTACCTTCTGGATTCAATGAACGCATATTTCTTGTCTTTTCAGCATTGTATGGCCTCACTTGAATCTGGTGTTCTAGGATAGTAGCAGGGTACTTGTCAAAGAACATCTCGTTGACAGCCATGTCAAATGTGGGTATCACTTCCTGTGGATAATTAATCAGCTGACGATACAGATCAGCATCAAACTCGCGCAGATGCTCGCAGTTTATGTTAAGGAATGGTTCTCCGATGGCATTGATCTGTAAGAGAGAAATTAATAAATTATTCATTAAATTTATCAAGCATTGTAATACAAATGTGTTAAGGTATCCTTTTATTAAGTCTGTAAACACAAAACAGCCATATCATACAAACACTTTGCTTACTTTAGTCACCAATAACACTGCAATACTGACCCTAAACTATAAATCCGAAGGACAACTTATACAACTAATTGCTAATTAATTCAGTAGTTTTTTACCTCTTCAAGTCTCTGCAAGTAGTAAGGCTGGTTGATGTCCATGCCTTCAAATGCCTCGTCCTCATCAACGTTCTTTTCCACAAACTTCAGAATAAATCTGCGGAACTTCTCCTTGCAGTGACTTACGACTACATCTGTTCCCCAGATTACCAGCTGTGGTCCGGCATTTGTATCACTTGTAATATCACTTGTCATTCTGGTAGCTTCCTGCAAATTTTAACATTACAATTTGAATTAATACAGGGAAACCAAAGTATTCAACTGCTATATATGAGCTGTGCCATGACAAAACCAACATAATGGGTTTGCGACCAGCATGGATCCAGACCAGCCTGAGCATCCGCGCAGTCTAATCAGGATCCATGCTGTTCGCTTACCAACCCTATTACAAGTAGAGAAACTGAAAGCGAACAGCATGGATCCTGATCAGACTGGGCGGATGCGCAGGCTGGTCTGGACCCATGCTGGTCGCAAACCCATTATGTTGGTTTTGTCCTGACGCGGCTCATATTATCTTTCATTGAGCAACAATTTATTAATAATAACTCAATCATTTTAAATAGCATTTTGAGACATATTTACACTTAATTTTAAAGTCATTCACATTTATCCAAAGGTAGTTTTAGTACATATTATGCAAGCAAAACAAGATGAACAAAACTGTAACTCACAGCTTTAAGGCAATACATTTAGCTCAGTATCAGACCTATCAATGCAAAATGTCCAAATTTTACATCACTCAAATAATTCCAATTCTAAATAGAAAGGATTGTTTGTATTCTCAAACAAACTGCAACCAAAACATGTTTGTGTTGTTAGATAGTTCATATGCCTGAACATCTGCCTCAAGTACAATATGCCATCTTCAAATAACTCCTAACATACTTTTTGTTAAGATTCTTCTTGCACTTTTATTCAGACTCTACTTACACTTTGTTCAGACCCTCCAATGGCCACAGTTCTCATTTTTCTCTCACTATGAATATCTGGGCGTGACCTAATTGGTGTTTCGCCAACCCCGGGAGTGCGAGGCCCTCCTCTACTGCTTGGTGTACCATAGTTTAGTGGAGAACTTAGATCAATTTCACTGGTTGGAGCTACGAATATAAGCAAAAAACACATCTTTAATCTTTAACTTTTAATTTCTAGTTTATTGATTTTTTTTATCTGATATCAACACTCAATAATTATGCAACATAAACCGAACAAGCATAACTATCTTTTACTAAAAGTAGATTACCTAACACAATCATGCTTAAATGCATTTTCCTGACAAAAATAAATGGAAATGTATGTCTGTACATCTGACCATAATGTACTTCAATCTATACATGCTGAAATGTAATTTGCAGCATCAACAATGCCTTTATAATGATAATGATTTCAACACTTTTTTATTAAATGGGCATATCTATTGCCCTAACTCAGTGGTAAGGTGTTTACCACAACTTTTACGCAATATTTTGACGTTGCACGGAAAAGTTGTGGTAAACACCCTATCACCGTACCTATTGAGAAAGCTAAAATTTGCAATGAAATGCCATTCTCTTATTCAGTCCTGTAAATAGCTATATAAACACAAACTAAAAGATGAAACTAACCTCCGGCTCTCTGTTGTGGGCTTGAGAACAAGGAAGATTCCCCACCAGAAGGCGGGGCAGCTGGTGAAGAAGGTAGAGGAGCCATGTCACCACCTGGAGAGGCTTCAACTCTACGTCTCTGGGCTGGTGGGGATGACACTTCATCTTCCTTGGCTGCTTTGGCCTTTCGTGCACTTCGTCTGGCTAATTAACCAGTAAAATGTAATGAAACAGTTATGCAGTTACTTAAAATATTGGTATGGCAGGGCTCTCGTTAGCATTTTGAGACTGGGGCCAGGGTCCATGCAGTGGGGGGAATTTTGCATGATTTTCAAATATTTTTCATTCAAGGGGGAATTTTTTTTCAGTAAGACTTGAAATTATGCATTTTTGGATGCTTAAAACTGTCCAGAATGTCTTATTTATATATACGTACTAATTTCCGATTGCCGTTCGCGGAATACATACTAATTTCCAGTTGCCGTTCGCGAAATATATATTCAAGGGGGCTTTTTTTTGGTTTTAGGGGGAAAAAAACACGTTTTGGTGGGGGAATGGGGCCGATATTCGGACCCAAATTTTACCAAACGAGAGCCCTGTATGGTAAACATTTAAATTGTTGTCATCAATTCATATATCTGAAAGATTGACCTATTTCATTCAGTCTTGCCAAATTCTAATTTACAACTGTGCAACTTTTTAACAAATTAAATACTTGCAGCAAACAGGATTTATTTCCTGGATTTTGGAAACATGAATTTGGAATTTCAGCAATATTTTGTTAAAAATTAGGAAATAACACACATAAAATTTCTATATAGAGTATGCAAAAGGCTTTGCATTCCTTGTGTTTATTTATAGTTAAAGGGGTATATTTGCCTTTATTTTTTTTAAATATTTGCTTGTATTTTTCAATTATTGATAGAATGTCTAGCTCATGTGCTGAAATATATTTTAAGACGTATATATTGGAAAAAAATGCAGTTGAACTATTACGTGTTGTTGCCGTTGAAGCTTCTGAAGTGGGACTGCTTGGTTCGTCAGCACGTCCTCTCTTGCTCCTACGACGTGGTGTTAATGGTGAATCCATCTACATGAAAGATAGAAAATGTTGCAAATTACTGACGATGTCTCTTCGCTGTTTTTCGTTTTCTTCTAGTTTATATATTATTATCTATAATTAGAATTTGTAAATCTAAACATATCATAATAAACAGCTTCAAGAAGATTATTTTTGAGTGGTTCTTACCATTAAAAATATTACTTTAAGAAGAAATCAATGGAAACTGTACCTTTTTTTGCTTTGTTTATGTCGGCTAGTCACGTGTTGAAATCCGCGGGAAAAGTTCTAAACTCGCTAATTCACATGCCCGTTTGTAACATGATAAGTGTATGCAGATTTAACACATACTTGCTCCGCCTTCTAAATCGTAGGAATATGGTGTGTAAAATTTATTCTGTTTACATGTAAAGATTTATGTTGTATTTAATTCACATTTAAATCTTGTAAATTATAAAATATTTTAACATTTATGCAGTACAAAAGTATAATAGTATATTTTCAACCGTGTAAAAGGGAAAAAAGATAACAGAACTATTTTTACTAAATAACAAATAGCCCAAAGTATCCCGACTGAAGGATTTTTGGTAAACGGAAAAAGGGATCGAGTGAGAGTACACTTTGCATATTTAGCCCCGCCTATAAATTAAGCACGAATTTCTGATAAAGCGTTATCATCCTGATTATCTATGGAAATGATCAGCGTCACTGTGAAATAGTGCATTATGCTAAATCCTCCTAATAAATATATGCGTATGTCTAAAAAATGGAAACAGGCTTTAAAGTCTTCAGGACATACAATCGTATCCTAATGGTTTTTCATTCATACAGTATGCCTAATAATTTAATCAGCATATGAACCTATGTGAAGATATCAAGTAAGATGATGAAAGGATCATCTGAATGTGCATACAATGTATACTTATGTTCATTATTTAAAGATACATGAGGAATCAAATTATAAGAGGAGCATAAGATCATCAACAGGAACATATACTCTAGTTTTGATAGAAGATGTATGAAAGGTTAATGCCAGATGAGCAGGGAATAATCTAGATGTAAATATACATTAGTACTAGTTATGGAACAGATATGAAGGGTCACCTGGTCTTTTAGATGTATAAACACTGTAGTTCTTAAAGAACATATATGATGGAAATACACATTATCTTTTTTTATCATGGAACAGATACAGTTGAGTTCACACTAAAGGTTACACAAAGTGCACTAGGAGTGCACTAGATGTGCACTACTAGTGCACGTTGAAGTGCACTACTAGTTCACTACTAGTGCACTTCATAAGTGTACTTTGTAGTGCACCAGAACTATTATATGTATTAAGCAGTTACCTTTTATTTCAATGAATAGCAATTTGACTTTTACAAAAAGATAGATAAATATAGATATCTACATAATAGTTTTTCATAATAAATTTGAAGTTGTGAATATTGGATTTTGTAAAATATGGCGTAAAATATTAGGACAATAATTTTACTGATTTTGTACTTTAAAACTTAATTGTTAGAATAAGTTAATATAAATGATTATTACTTTAATGTTGATAAGTGCATAAATAAATAAACAAAATTAATTGATATTTAATATAATTCTATTTTATTATAATCTGGTATAATGACATATGAAACATTGAATACAATACAATACAATACAACATTCTTTTATTTCGTCAAGGTTACATTTTAACAACAGACATTATAATAATCAAGTAAATAAATACATATGTGGATATCAAATAGCAAACAGTTACATATAGAGTTTGCCTTTATTTGAGAGTTGCATTCTACTAAACCAGTCGGTAATAAATTGACCAATGCCAATCAGTGTTTGTTTAATTAACAAATGAACGTTAGATAAGTTCGAAGAATTTTGCTTTAAGAATATTTCACTGTGATCAAGGGTAGTTTTAACATAATCAAGCCATTTGAATGTGTAATCACTAGGTATATGTTAATTAGTGTTCATCCGTGCTGTTCTACAGAAATTAGAAATTTCGACGGGAGCGATAGCGACAGGAGAATGTTTCTAATTTCTGTAGAACAGCTACGGATGAACACTAACATATTTAGTGTCAAGCTTTATTTGGCCCTTGATTACGTCACTACGCGGTTTTATAAAACACTATGAAAAATAGAAGGCGACTATGAACGGTTTTCAATACAGTATCGACTTTTTTTCTTCTATGAAAATTAACACACATAATTCTTAAGAAATACAGCGTTTTCATTGGATGACAAATAAAGCTGGACACTAATTAACATAAAGTTGTTGAAAAAATTTGAGTATTTATATTGATGATCTTGCACTATTTTTTCCCAAAATTTAATAATACTTGTTTTGATAACAATTTCAAGCGGATGTCTACCTAATTCGCCATAGAGCATGTACGCAGGAGTACTTTTTCTGCAATTTGTTATTTTACGCAAAAATTCAATATGTACTTTTCCGTCTTGAGTATTTTCTATTCCCCATATTTCGCATGAAAATAACAAAATTGGAACAATGGTGTTCTCAAATAGTTTGAGTTGTAAATCAAGTGGTAAACAAAGATTATTAATTCGTTTGAGTTACAAAAGGTGAGTCAGTGGCCGAGTGGTTAAGGTCGTTGGCTTCAAACCACTTGCCCCTCACCGCTGTGGGTTCGAATCCCGACAGAGACTTTGGATTCTTTCATGTGAGGAAGCTATCCTGCTAGCTTACGGAACGTCGGGGGTTTTACTCAGGTACCCGCTCGTGCCTGAAATAATGCACGGAAGGGCACCTGAGGTCTTCCTCCATCAGTAAAGCTGGAACGTCGCGATATGACCTATACTGTGTCGATGTGACGTAAAATCCAAAACAAACAAAAAAATCGTTTGTACAAAAGGTTCATTGCTTTTCTAGCTTGTGTAAGTAAATGATCTCTTGCTTTCTTAAATTTCCCATTAGGACTAAACATAACGCCTAAGTATTTATTACTATCGATTATTTGCAGAGCATTTACATTAAGCCTAAAAGACATATTGCATTACCCACGTGTATTTGTACCAAAGATAATAACTTTGGTTTTGTTAGTATTTATTTTAAACTACCATCTTTGACAATAATCGTTAAAATCATTTAAACATTATTGGAATTCTTGCGGGGTCTTTGAATAAGAACCGTGTCATCTGCAAAAAATAACACTAATATACTTAAAAAAAACTATGAATATTGTCAATTTGGCATTCTAAAGAAATTCCGCCATTACATTTAGATTCCAGAAAATCGATTAAATCATTATGAAAAAGTGAGAACAACAGAGGGGAAAGATTTTTCCCTTGTCTCACGCCACAATCGCACGAAAATATAGAGGAAACTTCCCCCATTTGATTGAGCACATGACCTAATGTTATTGTACATGTTGCGAATAATCCTTAGGAATTTGCCACCAATACCATTATCGATCAATTTTTGAAAAAGTTGGGCTCTATTTACATTGCCAAAAGCTCGGGGAAAAGCAACAAAAGCTACAAAAAGCTTACTTTTTCATACGCATTAGTTCTATCAAAAACATTAAGCTAAATACGTGATCTATAGTGGAGTGATTTTTTTCTAAAGCCTGCCTGATTTTCATGAATAATGTTATGAGTTTCTACAAATTTAGTCAACCTATCATTTAAAACTGAAGTAAATAATTTTCCAACACAGCTCGTAATTGGCCTATAGTTTTCCGATAAATCTGTATTTCCTTTTCCCTTAAAAATTGTTATGACCAACTGTTAGGAACAATTCCGGTATCAAGAATAATGTTAAAAAGTTTCGTAAATATTGGCAACATAATGTACTCTGTAGATTTAATATATTCGTTAAAGATATTATCCGACTTACTAGCTGCTTTACCATTTTTTGCACTTTTTAATTAAATTAAAGATTTCATTTTCGGTAAATACTGTCATTATTACGTAAATCAGTCCCATTGGTTTCAAACAGGTATGACTGTTCATTGTTTGAAATATTCGTATCAAAATCATTAATTGATGGCATTTTGCTCTGGTTATTTGTTTTAAGACTATTTAAATATTTCCAGTATGATTTGGGATCGAATTTTTGCATTTTTCTTAGCTTTGCCTGATTGTTAAACGTATATTATTCAGGTAAAATTTCATTGTGTGTTTATAATCTTTACTTGCACGGTTATTCATGTTATACCTTTTCCGTGTGCGGTAATATATAGCTCGCTTGTTATGGCAGTTGGGCCTGTACCCGGGTTTATTTTTAATGTTTGACATACATGTGTTCCTTATTGTCTTAACGTGCGAATAAGACTTTGTAAAAACAGGTTTTGCAAATTCGTTATAAATGTGAGTAATTTCCTGTACAATATGATTCATCCAAGTTTAAAAAAAGGAAAATTATTTAAAATGTATTCTACGTTCGCTACCTTGTTCAAATTAATTTTTTGAATAAACTCGTTTTTTCGGCTGGGTTGCCATTTAATCGCGTTGCTTTTAGCAGTCGGACTGTTGACACCATTAATTGCTATCACTTTTAACAAAGTTAATTTCTAAGGACAATAAAGAGTGTCCATCTGAGAAAATGCAATCCAATTCATTAATTTTGAAATCTTTTAAACATTTCAGCATATTTGCAGACGGAATGGTATAGTCGATTACCGTCATGTTTTTGAATGTAAAATTTCCAATGTCTTGATCGTGGCTAAAACGACCATTTAATACAAAAGAATTATCATTTTTAGAAATATTAATTAAAGACCGACCTAAACTATTGATCTTATGATCTTTAGATGTCCTTAGAATGCTCAACCCTAACTTGGCTTAAAATATCTGTTTAATTAAAAAATTCTACGAAGTCATTATCAAAATCAAAAATGTTTGTTAAAAAATCATTAGATTTCGTGAAATCTTCAAATTCAGCAATATGGGCATTAGCATCACCGGTTATGAGCACATATTCATTTGCAATACACATATCAATAATTTCATTTTTTAAAAATTAACAATTCATCTTGATTAAAATATTTTGAAGATTTTGGTGGAATATACATGATGCCAATAATAATATGTTTACGACTAACAGGTGTACAATTCATAATTTTAACCACATAATATAATCGGAGCTAGAATCCATTATTTCTATTTGATCATGTAGACCGGTCTTTACAAAAATACACAGACCACCGGACATTCGTATAAAAGCTTGTTTTCAAGGTTGTTTAAAGAACTGGTAACCATCTATAAATATATATTGTCATACTGGTCTATTTTGCGACGTTGTCGATAACTTATCTTTGTTTGTTTCCGTCCGTATGTGTTATCATTCGAAAGAGATAATTTATTTGAATCAGAAATCGATTCCGATTCGGACTT